GATCTTCTCAGCAGCAGCCTGGAAGGCTTGTGAAGGTAGAGGGTGAATGAATCCTGGAGGACAACCTGATGCAGGAGAACTGAGACGTGGAGAAGACTTGTTTTCCATCAAGACAATGAGCAGAAGCAAACAGCCAAAAAGCTCCACAGAAATGGTTCGAAGACAACAAGCTGAAGTTCTGGAGGCCCAGTCAGAGTCCAGATGTTCAGACTGTTGGAGACCAACAGGATCAGAGGTTCATCTACTGAGTCCTGACTGGAGGAGGAGAACACTGACGGAACCACTGGTTTTACTTTTTATATTTTAAATTAATTGACATTACTTTGTAGAAACCTGTCTTCACTTTGACATGAACCAGTCTTGTTTGTAGTTTAAATTATTGCTCAGAAGCCCCTGAATGTGTTCACCCGGACTGAGCATTGAAACGCGACAGCAGGGAGAAGCCTCCTGCGACAGCCACTGTATGCTAAGCTAACGTCAGCGCGTGAGCGATCGGCCGTGGCAGCAGGAAACGCTGTAATATCTGGCTGACAGTTATCTGTCAACAAAGCGTCCAAGTGGCCTTGATGTTCCTCCTGAACCCAGGTCCCGTGTGCTCGTGTTACAGCAGCACACACTTACCACACGCATGACACGACCGCGGCAGCACACAGCAGCCTAAGCAGGTAATTTAGCTATCAGCGGCCATATTTCGTGTGCGCTGCTCCTCCTGTTAGCTTGACAAGATTGCGTGTAATTAAGTGTGTGTCTGTGCGGGTGTGTGTTGCGTGTGCGCTCGGACGAGGCTGCCTGGGGGAGGTGAAGGTAACAGCAGCAATCAGAGCTGCCAGAGGGCGGTCCCTGGAGACAAATCAAACATGATTGACCTGTTACATCAGCTGCTGTGTGTGTGTGTGTGTGTGTGTGTGTGTGTGTGTGTGTGTGTGTGTGTGTGTGACAGAGATGTCAGAGTAAAGGGGGGGGAGGGGGAGTCGCTGCTGAGTTGATGTACGATGTGATGGTGATTCCCTCACGACTCCCCTCTGCTCATCCTTCCATCAGCTATAACTCAGCACAGGGAGTCCAATGAAAGATAGAAGTGTGTGTGTGTGTGTGTGTGTGTGTGTGTGTAGGTGTGTGTCCGTTCCTCTCCAAGTTTATCATTCCTGGATAACAAGGAAAAGACGGATGAATTACAGTGTTTGACTGGCTGTTGGAGGGGAGCGACGGCTCAGCCCTCCAGAACCAATTACTCAGCTTGTAATCACAGCCGAGCTGCCACATAAAGACTGAAATATCCAAACTGAGAGCTTTTAGATGATGTAACTCACTGGAATGTCGTCAAATAAAAAGAAAATCTAATAGTCTTCGAGCTTATCGATTTTGTGTGAAAAATCTAGCGACGTTCGAGTCTCTGCAGATGAAGCTGGCGCTAAACGGTCGCTTCAGATCGAGTCCTCCTGAAACATCGCAGCTTGTTTTTAGCTGTAACAGCATTGTCAAGAATAGGAAGATATAGCGCTGCAGGCGGGACTAATTCCATGACTGATTGATTTGTATTCATTAGGGTTTGACTTGTTAGCTTGCTGCCCATTAGCTCTGCTAATCACTGGATAGTTAGTGGAGAGGCACATATGTCTGTAAACAGCAGACTGTAGTCCACAAGATGTCAGTCAACTGCTGTCTGGTACAACAGCAACTATTCAAATACATACGTGGCTAAAAACACCGAATTGAGTTGCAGAAGTTTGCGAAAAACCGGACAGAACCCGACCAGCAGATATGAACAGACCAAAAATAAAGACTCACTGTTATTTATTTAATTAAATCAACTAAAAATGTTTTAACTGATGAGGTGGAATGGGGGATATGCGGTACAACTGTCAGAAAATGCTTTGAAGATTTCCTGTAGTACCTGGTTGTTCCACCAGGCGGCGCCTCTTATTGTACAGTGAGATGGAGCTACAGGGGTCACTGCCCATAACTGACTGCTAACTGTGGCCCTCATTTTGACAAACTCATCGAGGTGTCTGCCGACTGTCCAGTTTAGCTAGCTACCTGAGCGTCATGCTAACACTAAGCTCCAACAGCATACAAACTCCAGGAAAGAAGTGTGTCGGCGACGTTCTGCTCTGAGTATGAATAGAGAACTGAGCTGCTCATTTATCATGAACACTCCAGATGGGTGCTGGGTTTGTTGTATGAGAATAATTAGACAGTAAATGTCAGAACTGGTTTAACTGTTCGTGGCCATGACTGACTTCTTCTCTTCATCTGTGTTTCAGGGATCGTACTTGCTGACATCATTGAGAAGTACTTCGTTTCGCCCACCTTGTTCCGAGTGATCCGATTGGCCCGAATCGGACGCATTCTTCGTCTCATCAGAGGCGCTAAGGGAATCCGGACGTTGCTGTTTGCCCTCATGATGTCCCTTCCAGCTCTCTTCAACATTGGACTCCTCCTCTTCCTCGTCATGTTCATCTACGCCATCTTCGGCATGGCCAACTTCGCCTACGTGAAGCGGCAGGCAGGGATTGATGATATGTTTAACTTCGAGACGTTTGGGAACAGCATGATCTGCTTGTTCCAGATCACCACCTCAGCCGGCTGGGACAGCCTGCTTAGCCCCATCCTCAACAACTCCCCCGAGGAGTGCAACCCCAACATCCCCCACACCGGCACCACCGTCAGGGGCAACTGCGGGAACCCATCGGTGGGCATCACCTTCTTCGTCACCTACATCATCATCTCCTTCCTCATTGTGGTGAACATGTACATCGCCATCATCCTGGAGAACTTCAGCGTGGCGACGGAGGAGAGCACTGAACCGCTGAGCGAGGACGACTTCGAGATGTTCTATGAGGTCTGGGAGAAGTTTGACCCGGAAGCCACGCAGTTCATCGAGTACGCCAAGCTGTCCGACTTCGCCGACTCGCTGTCGGAGCCGCTGCGCATCGCCAAGCCGAACAAAATCAAACTGATCTCCATGGACCTGCCCATGGTCAGTGGGGACAAAATCCACTGCCTGGACATCCTGTTTGCCTTCACCAAGCGCGTCCTGGGCGAATCGGGCGAGATGGACGCCCTCAAGCAGCAGATGGAGGAGAAGTTCATGATGGCCAACCCATCCAAGATTTCCTACGAGCCGATCACAACAACTTTGAGGCGCAAACAGGAAGAAGTCTCCGCCACTGTCATCCAGAGGTGCTACCGCAGACACCTGGTGAGGCGACAGATGAAGGCCGCCTCCTACCTGTATCGCCAGATCACCACACCTCGGCATGCAGTTGGCGACGGCGAGGAAGGCGGCGAGGGGATATTTGGGGAGGACGCACCTGAGAAAGAAGGGCTGATCGCCGCCATGATGAGGGAAAACTACGGCTCGAGTTTGTTAGGGATGGAGCGCTCCGAGACCATTTCCTCCACCTCGTCTCCGCCGTCGTACGACAGCGTGACGCGAGCGACGTCCGAAATCTTTCACCCGCTCGCCGTCAAGACGGAGACGGTTGTTGACACTGGAGGCAGCGAACAGAGCGAACAGTCGGCGCTCGACACCGACAGACAGCAGGAAACGGTACCGTAGTGGGAACCGAAAAGCAAAAAATTTTACAAATGAGGATTTTCTCGTTTTGGGTAAAGCCTGTTTGTTCTTTCGTTTACTGAATGTACCACAGCTGAGGAGCACCGAGGAACGCTGAGGAGAACCAAGTGGAATATTTACTACCTTTAATATTTTTTTCCCCTGCTCCCCGTGGAGATTCCTGGACTCGACTGGACAGCGTTTCTTAAAGGGAAGCAGAGAAACTAGTGTCAAGTCAGCTCTGCCTTTTTGTCAGACGGAACGTAAAGGAGAACCACTACCTGGGTCTCTCGTGTCGATCGGAGCCGAGGGTTCAGAACAATGACTGACCGTGAAGCTGAGCTGCAGGCGGTCAGAGCAACTATATCACAGATGTATCCATCATTTATTGGCCTGGGGGGTTCGTGCCTTCCCACAGTTGATCAATATTCTCAGAGTATGCTTGGCTGTAAGAGCGACAGTGTTTCTGGTGGCGTTTCTCGACGCGTTCTGACGGACCGAGACTCGAGAGAGGAGGGGAAATACTGACAACGTGATTTTAAAAAAAAATGTTTTCGTAGTAAAAGTATAACGTTGTTGATGTTACCAGTCTTTTAATAGCGGTACAATTATTACTATTTTTTATATTTTTTAGAGTAAGTTGATGAAAAAAAAACCAAGCGGTCTCTCTCTTTTGACTTTGAAGTGGCGCTAGCGATGAAAAAAGTGGCCGAACCACCACGTTGTAATAGACGAGAGGAGAGAGCGCGGTCAGGAAGAAGAAGCAACTTCATCAGTTTTTGTTGGCAGTTTGTTGTTGTTTTTTTTTTGTTTTTTTTTTGCACTTTTGAGTTTACATGTGCCGTCACTTTTGCACACCTGGGCAAAGACACGGAGGAGAAGAGCCTGGGAAGTCTTTATTTTTATTCTGAAGAACCTTTGCGATAACACCAAAAACTAATACAAGTGCACAATGAGATTTTCTACACGGTACCGAACTCTTGTATCACGTGTTTTGCCCTGGTGGTGAACATCCTTCGCGTGCGTGCGTCCGTTTGTTTGGCCGGCGGGTGATTTGTCTTAAAGTGCAGTTTCCAGCTTCTCTTTGCAACAGCTTTAAACTGCCGTCATATCATAGCAGGACTTAACCCCTCAGGTGCATCTACCTGTCGTCAGAGCAGAAAAAATATCGTTCCGTTTTGTAAATTCTACTTTAGTTCAACGGGGCACGTTTCCTCTTTTGAGTCACTAAGTGTTGTGCTACTTTTACACGGTTCACTTCGTTTGTAGAGATCTGAAGAAAGAGTTTCGAAATTTGTCCAAAAAAAAAGATTCGAAATTAGTTCGAAATTGTTCACAGCGCCTCGTAGAAATGGCCAGAATGACGTAAGATCTGTTCAGAATGATTCAAAAATCATAGGAAGTTAATTCAAAGTTGTCCAATACTTTAGAAAAAGTGTCCAAAATCATTCACAAATTGCTCAAAGCTGGATCGCAAGTTGTCCAAAATCACTAATAAGTCGTCTAAAATGGCGTCAAAAGTGTGCGAAGTTGGTTTGAAATTGTCCACGACTCGAAAGCTGTCCCCGGTTTGTCCAGAAGGATTTGAGACTTGTCCAAAGTGAGTAAGGAACTGACCAAGAGCCTTCTCAAAGTGCTTCAAAATGCGTCTAACATGACTCAAAAGTGGCTGAAAACTACCCTGAACGTACCCAGAATTATAGACCGTTATCTAGAAAGTGTCCAAAATCCTTTACAAACTGTCCAAAATAAGCAAGTAATTGTCCAAAATCACTCATTATTTGTCCCCATCTTGTCTGGAAACGGACTTGAGACTCTCCAAAACTTCCCGACTGTCCAAAATCACCCAAAATGTGTCTAAAATTAATCAAAGAGTGTACAAAAGGTACAAAAAATGTGTTCAAATGACTGGAAAACTGTCAAAAACTATTTAAAACTCGTCCAAATTAATTAAAAATGTTGGATATGAATAAAAATGCATCCAAAATTATTTAAAACTCGTCCAAAATGACTCAATATTTCCGCAAAATTACTCAAAACAGTTCAAAAATTATTTCAAATTGCACAAAATAATTTGAAACGTTTCAACATTTATTAAAAAGGTCCAAAATGATCCCAAATTTGCACAAAATTATATGAAAACTTTGGCCTGATGATTCACAAATTGTCCAAAATTATTTAAAAAACGTCCCGAAAATACTGGAATAATATTCAAACTTTTCCAAAATGAAGAATTCTGTCAAAAATGACTTCAAAATTGTCTACAATGACTCAAAGTGTGTCCAGAAACCTTCCAAAAAAATGGTCCAAGTTAAAGTAAAATGGTAAGAAATGACTGAGTTTATGGAGAACTTGAATCTTGCCCACAGTTTAGTAAAGGACAGAAAAGCAGGAACTGTGTCGCTGAACGATGTTTGAGTTCAAAGTCTGCACATAAAGAAACGGAAACAGGTCATAACTCGGCCAACGATGCCGTGAAGCTGCAGCACAGCTCTGCACGTTTTGGATGCCATAAAAGATCATTTCGATGTTTCTCCGGTACGAACACCAAACACCAACTTCTCTGACAAACCACCCGCCGCCATCAACCCTCCGTCTGGTCGGAGTTTGGCTCGAACCGAACCGTCGAAGTGAATCGCGCTCGAGGAGTCGAAGCAGCTCCGACAATCAGGATTTCGCCCCGTTTGTCGTCACGACGAGCTGAGGCGGGTCCGGCTGCTCCGCTCGGCTGTTTTCAGTGTCCCGGAAAAACCCTCGACGTCGAAACACAACCAGGAAGTGAAGACGGAGAAGATGTCGAGGAGTTGTTGCTGCAGAATGTTGCACCAAGCGTTAAAGCTTCTCGTTTGTCCGTCTCCGTCCGGTTCCAGTGTTTTCGTCTGCTCAGGATTCCAACAATCAAAGACGCAAAACTTCAAACTCATCTCACGCATCCAGAACTTCAGTAATTTCAGCCATCAGGTTCTTCAGGCGTTAGCTCAGACCGAACCCTTTCTAGTCGTAGCCAGCTCCCTAGAAGTGTTTGTGTTCAAAGTTTTCAAAAGCCGTCCAAAAGAGCCACACGGACGATCCGAAGGTGAAAAGTGACTCAGAAACGATGAGAATGACTTAAAACGAGCCGACGGCGGCTGATCTGCACATCTGTCAACGACACGCCGCTCTTTCCAGGACACTGAAAGCTTTTCTGCTTCCTTTTTTCCGGCTAAACGATACGAAGCGTTTTGTTCCGAACGCGCGGGAATAAATCTGTAAATTGAAGTTCAGCTTTTACTTGAGGAAACAAACAAACAAACAAAAAACTGTCAATTTGAACGATTTGATCAAAGTTTTCTGCTGCAGGTAAAGTTTTTACAGATTCACGTTTTATATTCAGCACATCGGAGACTTTGCAGATTTTTCTCCCCCCCGTCGCGGAAGGAAACGCCGCTTTGTTTGTTTGTTTGTTTATTTATTTATTTACGCGCCGACTTTGTTTATTTTTCTGGTTGACGGCTTTATTTTATCGGGTTCTTTTGACTCTCGTGGCGGAGGCCGAGCGAGGCGGCTCTTTATCTATTTTGCACAGAGAAACAAACAAACAAAAAAAAAAAAACAAGCCGCGTCTAGCAATAACGGTTTGCCGACGCCTGCCGCGTGAACCGCGAGGCGACGCCCGACTCTGCCGGAGCTTCGTCTCGCCGTATGAAGCTGAAACTCTTTGAGCGTTCGGTGGAATCGGACGAGTCGCGGCGCCGACCGACGGCGTGGACGCGAGGCAGCGGCAGGCTTTGGTTCAGATCAGAGTGTACAGCGTTTGTTCAGTCTGCTCGGATATCTCCAACAACAACCTCTCTGTCTCCGTCGTCACCCGAAGGATCTTTACTCAACGCTTTACTAGACTAATTTTAAAGAGCAGTTTTCCTGGCACCGTCTGGACTCTATTTCTACTCGATCCTATTGCGAATAGATAACCATATAACTAGGTAATACTTAGGACACTGCTGAACTCTGCTGCGAGGCGTATTTCAGGTTGCAGTTGTGCTGAAGGGCTGTTTTCAGTAGCAATAGACCCAGAGTGTGCCTGCTACATACGAACCCAACACTCCAAGCCATGCTTTCCCGTTGGTTGACTGATGACGTGCTGATTGATCGGTGAGCCGGTTGATGACTTGGTTGCTTGATGAATCGACTGTGATGGTTTTCGATCACTACCAGGACTCCCCCCCCCCCCGTCACCGTCCAACTAACAGCACAGAGAGCCGATCGGCCGGCGGCGCCTTCAAACCGTCGCCGAGGTTCAGATTCACCGAAGGTCTGCAGAGGAAAAGACAAAGTGCATTTTGTGACTGCATCAGGGAAGAAAACGCTGCGGCTGGCTGGAAGTCAAACGCAAATCTGTCCAAAAAGATGTCAAAAAAAGACATTTTTACTTTTTACTTATTACTCAAATTATCCAACACAGCTTGAAATTCCTCCAAAAAAATTTGTTCAAAATTATCCAAAACCAACAAGTTACACAAACTGAGTCAGCCGTGGTGACTCTAAACTTTTCCAAAATGGCTTGAAACTTAATCCAGAGTCCAAAATGATTCACAAACGATCGAAAATAGCCCGAAGCCTGGCCAAGCTTAGTTAGAAATAGTTTAAAAGTACTTAAAATCTGTCTTTAGTAACTCAAAACTTGTGAAAAGTCTCTCAAAATGTGTCCAACGTGACTCAAAAGTTCCTACAAATTATTCATAAATCGTCTAAAACGACTTGAAACTTGTCCAGAAGGATTCCAGTTGTTCAAAATGGTTAAAAAAAAAAAAAGTCAAAAGCGCCCAAAGTGGCCTGAAGCTTGTCCGAATTATTCAGAACTACCTGAAATCTGTTGTAAACAACTCGTAAAATGTTCAGAAATGACTCATAATTTGTCCAAATAAGATCCAAAATGCTTCATAAATAGTCAAAACTGACTTAAGACATGTCCAGAATGACTCGTAATGAGTTAGAAAGGAAAAGAACTACATTCAATAAAAATGACAACAATTTGTCTATAAATGATCAAAAATGGACGTAAAATTTGACCAGAATGATTCATAATTTGTTTAAAATGATCCACAAATTGTCCAAAATAAGTTTGAAATTTTATCAA